ACTATATGTTCAGGGTTTAGGTGGGTTTAGGGTTTCGGGTGGGGCGAAAACCCCCTACATTCCGGACACTGCCTCTCGGCTCGTACGCCAGGATATGGCAGCTACTGGTGACGGGCAAAGTGGAGACAGGCGACGATGAGGAGGACCCCATTAGAAATCGGCATACCACCTGTCCCTTTCAAGCCATACCAAAATTTACCCAACCTCCCCTTTTCTTTTGCGCCACCTATATCAGATGATTGCAGAGGGGATCCTTAGAAGAAGCATCCGATTACTTCAGGTCGATGTTTGTGCCTCTTGTGTTACGGGTACTCCCACTTCATTCCTGTCTTCAGCCTCCCACGATGCAGCTTGGACATCGACATGCTAGCTTGAGCAGTGTCCAGATTATTCGGCCTTGCATGCGAACTGCCCGTCACTTCGGGCAAGTGCCAGCAGCTCTGACACATACAGGCATAATATGTAGTACGTACGGGGCTACATACATACATACAGACGGACAGACAGACACGGAGACAGACATGCGGACAGAGACAGACCGACATGCAAACACAGACAAACATCCACAAATGCATGTGCACGAATACACAGTCATGTGTATATATATGTGTGTGTATACATACGTACATACATGTATATGTATATATATATATACACATACATACATATGTATATATTTATATATACACACACACATACATACATACAAACATACATACATACATACATACATACATACATACATATATATATATACTGCTATCGATAGATTTCAATTATAAATTCGGGTGTGTTGCGCTGCATGTCGATGTATTTAAGCGTCACATGCATGTGCAGGCATAAAGATCAAAAGTCGTGCTTTGGCATACAAACCTTTCATTGTAGATGTGCACCGTGCCCCTGTCCCGAACTCTGCATGTAATATAGGGGTCGCAAGAATCAGCAATACTATTGCCTTGATAGTCCCTAGATGCCCCTGGTATATCTCAGCCAACCAACTAAACAGCTGACTGATGACGGCACGACGAATTTTCTGTTGACTAAGAATACCACTGCCTTCTTTGAGTTGTATTGAATTATTTGTCCATCCAACAAAAATTTCCGTGTTTGTAGGTACGCACACACACACACGAACTTACCCTCCTCCCGTTTAACGTATATTTCTTATCCACATGTCACCCCGAGATGCACTTTGCAAACATGCGAACGTGGGCTTGTAGGGATCCTCGTGCTTTCAGATCTTTTTGCCAGTGAACACCAAAACCGTAAGATGGGCTGAACCCGAAAACCAGACCCTTAACCATACACCCCAACCCCTAAACCCTAAATTAAGCCCTGACCTTGCCCTAAACCCCAAACCCTACACCCTCACCCCCTAAACCCCTAAACCCTACACCCGAAGACAGAAAGCCCTGAGCCAGTAAGCCTAAAACGCTCAGGCCCTGACAAGCCCTGATTGTAGACCCTTTAAACCCTAGAGCCTCAATTCGCCCAGCTGAAAGTCCTAGAACCCCAAAACTCATAAACCTTGGCCCTTAACCCTTAAACCCCTAAACCCCGAAACCCTAAACGCGGCTCGAAGCTTGCATTGGGGCTAAGCACCCCTTGGGGATTGTTTCGGGGGTGCGTGGGATAGAGGGTTTAGGATTTGACACGGTTTAAAGGGTATATAGGCGTTTCGTGGTACGGTTTTGGTGTTTTGGGGCTTCAACGCCCTGGTCGGGCATTAGGTTTGAAGCTTCGCCAAACGCACCCACAAGCTTGCAAATCTGTTCTCGTTTAGGGTTTGGGGTTTAGGGTTTAGGGTTTAGTCACATGCACAGCCTCTTGAGAAACCTGACCATCCTTCGCAGGAGGACTCGTATCTCACCAGTGAGGGGACAGACAGCAGCCGCGAGAAGTGATGCGCAATTCAGGTAGAGGTTGTTCTGATCTAAGGGTCCCTCCGAGATCTTTGATAAGAGCACCCTGGGTTCTAAAATAAAAGATGCCTGTTCCGATAATTGATAGTGGGCTCGTTCTACATGAGGATCCGGCCAATGAAGACACTCAATCTTGGAACACGCAACTTTGAAGCAATATGAATATACGGGCTCAAATAGGGGCTCAAATAGTTGCCAATATATTATTATTGTGTTCCTGCTTTAGAGTATCAGTAATATAATGCATCCCAAAACCCTATTCTAAGTGTTAAGGCCACTATATTGAGAGCCGCAAGAGAACAGCGGTGAAACAGAACGGTGAGCGCTCGCCACAAAGCCGATGTTGTTCGCAACTGCAGGGAAAAAACTGATGTGGGTGAGGAGGGGTGACCGAGGCCGCTATCCCTGCTAAACCTAAACCCAAAGCTAAAGGAAACTAGAGGTGGGGAGTTTAGGGTATATAGGGCTTCATGAGGCTTCTATAAGGTATATAGACCGTCTATAAGGCTCCTATAACGGTAACTACCCACCTGAAAATGTCCTAGACTAAGCCCCGAACCGTTCTGCAGCACTCGCAAGGCGAGGACTCTGATGTCTGATAACAGCCTTGCCACCGGATTCCGACATCAAGCAGGCATGCATTGTAGTCCTAGAGACTAGATCAATACTTACACCCTCGCCCTAACCCTAAAGCCGTATACCCCTAAACCATGAAACCCTGACCCTGAACCATAAAACCCCCATCCCGAAAGCATAAAGCCCCGACGCTGAACCAAAAACCCTGAATCCCGAATCAGAATACCCCTTGCCCCTAAACCATAATTTCCCAACGCTTTCAGCTTGAACTCTCCCTGATCCTAAACTCTGCCTTCATCCTCAGGCCCTAAACTCTAAGGCCTTGAGCCCTAAACCCTACATCTCCTAAACCCTAGACCCTAAATCTCCTAAAGCCTAAATCTCCTGAACCCTAGACCCTATATCCTCAACCCTAAATCTCCTAAACCTTAAATCTCCTAAACCCTAAACCCTACATCCTCATCCTTGAACCCTTTATATTACTGGGGTTTAGGGTTTAGGGCCCCAAAGCCCCTGCGCTGCCACGCAGCGAGCATGTCGGCTCCGCCCCCTTGGGGCCTGCGCTGCTTCTGGCCCGGCAGCGAGGTGTGAGTCGAGGGTTTAGGGTTTAGGGGTTTTAGGGTTTTAGGGATTTTAGGGTTTAGGGATTTAGAGTTTTAGGGGTTTAGGGGTTTTAGGGTTTTAGGGGTTTTAGGGTTTAGGGTTTCAGGGTTTCAGGGTTTTAGGGTTTAGGGTTTAGGGTAACATGTGGGCCTACACAAAAACGCAATACTTAGGCTTAGGGGAAGGACGGTAAGCATAGGCAGTCTACCAGGACATCCCTGCCTTACATTGGGCTTCGTTATCCCTGGGGTTTACGTGAGACTAAACCCTAAACCCTAAGCC